TAGCAACATATTGCTGTGTTTTGATGCAGTTTATCAAGAAGCAAAGACCCTTTTTACTGGTTACGAGGAATTCCAACTTAATCCTCACGAGGTTTTTTACAGAATAAGGGTAACAAAGGAGCGCGCAGTCTACTTGATGGTAAGTGGATGCTGTGACCCAGAGACATCTACATCTATCCACGATTAAGGATCAAAATGTAGTTTGCGTTGTCACCAATGAGGACTAAGATGAGATGCCTCGTTTCCAATAAAAATGGTATCCGGTTGTCTATACTCATCATACGAAACGCAGCAGCATTAAGATGCTCTTTTACGTTGGTATTCTGTGAGAACGTGGTCCTACAGCGGCTGAGCTGACTCATTCCTGCTACAACCATAATATAGCTGCAGCTTGGCTGTACCACGTAAAAAGTACGAATTAGGGGGTCACAAGTCATGTGCATTTTGTTTCTCAATTGAAGTATAGATGTAGATGTCAATCAACTACAACATTTATTACCAACATATTCAATTTTTGTTTGTTACTTTTTTAAAGATAAAGTTTTTGCTATTACTCGATTGATAGAGCCTTATCAGCAGATGACACATTTGAAGTAGAGTTGGCATGTTCCCCTATCATGTAATACTCATTATATTTCTCCACATTTGACTCTAGAAAACTTAACAAACATCATTAAATACATGAAAAATAATCTACAATCTTGCTTTTCAATAATATTACTTTTTCATTCATTCCTTCATTACAGCCCTTTACAAGTCCACTGCTGAACATAGGCCTCCCCCAAGGTATGCCACAAAGCAGGAGGAGTAAGGAGTGTTTTATATTATTTGTCAGTAAGTAATATTACTTACTGACAAATAATATAAAACACTCCTTAATCTTCATTATTCTTTTCGTAATCTACGCAGGGACAATAACAATTGGCAGTTCCTGAATCCATCATTAACTTTTTTTACTCTTTAATTTCACAGTTTTAATATAATATAATATAAAATAAACACAGGCCGCTGAGGCACACTTAATACTGCCGTCGTTAACCACTCATTCTCAGTGAAACTATGTAATTTATTATCAAATTACAACTTTTGTATAGTACGTGAGAGTAATATGGTCATCCGGTTAGTATGATCACTTTCTAATAACTTGAAAACTACAGACTTGTTTGCATACATGGCTTTGTGAAATGATGACTCTTTATCAATCAATCAAATATTAAAAGGCCAAAAGGGCGATATTTTATCGACGCCATTTTGACAGTTGATATTACAGTCGATTTTAGTATGGTATAGTGTAGTTAGTTTTTTAAGTAGATTTTTCTAAGTATTCCTAATTATTGCCACGGCTTGTTTGCTCCTCCTAGTTTTAGTTTTAGGTGGCAAAGCTTAAGATGACCATATTACCCTCACGTACCGTATATGTTAAGTTTGTAATGTTATAAAGGATGGCATAAAAGTCATTATTAAAAAATATAGGTATCAAAATATTTCATGAAATCTGTTCAAATTGTTTTGTAAACCAGAGCTTTTTTCCATTTCCTAAGCGACCATCGCAAAAATCTATAATATCTAGAAGCAATCACACGAGCAAAAATTAAAAATCTTATGTGCTAGCAACCCTGCAAAGTTTTTCTATCTCACTCTAGCACAGTATATGCAAATCTCCTAGCACGGATTATTCTGCGTCCGCCAGTTTGATCCATCCGCGTAATGAAGTACGTTAAGGAGATCGCTGCGCCTTTTGTTACCTCGCAAGAGCTTATTATGTTTATAAATAAAAAGTAGCCTTTTGAAGAAGTCAAAAGAAATAATTTTATTCACAAAGTGTAACTCTGAAAATGGAATGAATTCAGTCCAATTTACTTTGTAGGTTAATTCCTTAGAAATTTTGTCGGTGAATAAGATATCGCGTAACTTGAAAACTTCAGCAATAAAAACCTGTAAAGGAGACATAGTGCTTGTACTTGTTTAATTAGTAATACTTGTTTAATTAGTGACATTTTAAAAGATTCTCACCTATAATGTATGAGTATGGTAGGAATAAAACTGGTTATATTAGTCATGTATAGGATTCGAATTTTTAAGTCCTTATCAAATTTGGATTGTTTATTGAGAATAGACGTAGATACATCTATCCTCATTGTTAACTGAGGATAGATATAGATATATCTATCTTTAGTTAACTATCAAAATTTACATTTACTGTCACCGATAAAGATGGAATGCTTCGTAGTATCGGTATCTCTAAATTCATCATACGAAACACAAAAGCATTAAGCTGCTCATTTATGCTTTGCATGGTCCTTTACCGGTCAAGCCGATCCATTCGCACTATGACCATAATGTAGCTGCAGTATGACTCTATCACATGTAAACTTGTACCTAAACAGAAAAATATAACTTTCTATTTAAATTTATCTACATTAGTCTATTATATACTTCTATATACTCTAAATCTGCTCCAATGGTTAAATTTACTTAATTAATTTATCGTTGTTGCAGAATGGAGGAGACTGTGCGGTCTTTGCTTCAATACAAAAGCTGCGTGGAAACTCTGAAGCAAGAGAAAGCTTCTTTGTCATCTGCTCTCGAGGTAAGTTCACTTCATAATTATCTTATACGGCGTGAGGTGTGTGAATCTGTTACCGATACTGTTACCGCCTATCAACAATCCACTACTGGACATCTCATCAGGGCTTCCAGGTGGCAAGCGGGTTGACACCCATAGTTTTTTATTTTCAATTATTATTGGGGAAACGCTTCTGCCCATCTTCTGGTTAGTTCCCTCTGTCGCTTCTTAGAAGACCCGCGAGACGATAATATGTGGTAGAAGATATTCTTACACCGTCACGTATAATTCCAATTGTTAAATCCAACTAATACATATAATAGTTCCCTCTACCTTCATCGTCATAACAGACGACCTACCGTCTAATCATATGTAGATTGTCAATAATGAAAAAAACGTAATACAAACCCCGTATCTCATTCTCTATTTTTTTCTCAAGAAATATCTCACATGCAGGTTTCCTTACGATGTTTCCCTTCACCGCCGAGTATGTGGTAAATCAGCACTTAAAATTTCAATTAAAAATTTCAAGTGTGCCGGCGAGGATCGAACCCGGTTTGTTTGCGTACTGTGAAATTTACAGCTAGCGCTAACCGTCTAAACTACCACGGTATCTTCTTTTTATTCTTCTTTAACCCGTTAAAGTCTACTCTAAGAAGATGTGTCTACTTCTCGTCGCTGGTATACGTATAGGTATTTTACGCCTGGTGTCATCGAGATGTTTATCTATAGAAAGTCATATGATCTTTTGGGCATACCCCATAGTTGCCTCTTACGACAACCATAGGAGAAGACAGAATTTACATCTGGTACAAATGAATAGTAACATTGCCATTAATTAGTGGCCACTAGATCATTCTATTCAATTCCCATAGTCTCCTACACGAACCACGAGACGTAAGACTTCGCCATCAGACGACGAATGCTCAGTAGAAATAAAGTAGCGAAATTGTTTCTGAAATTTACGAATACCTACTACACATTATTTAAAACGAATTTTATTTTAAACAACAGAGCTGTCATTTCGAGTGTCTTGCAAAACCAATGTTCAAGAAGGAATTGAGGTCTTGCACGTTCTGATGTCAATCTAAGCTTTTAAAACTCCGCAAAAAGAGCTTACAGTATTTCAAAGTCAATATTTTCAAGTTATGCTTAGCTTTGAGCGATAGTACTGGTAGGCTTGCAAATTCGGATGTCCTTTTTTAATTTTTGTGCTGTCTCCGTAGACAGAGCAGCTGCCTCTATCACTTTAAGTCAAAGTGACTTTGACACCACGAGACTTAAACGATATCTTAAAATTGTATAGAGTTTGAGTATTTAGCCATTAGTGTTGTAATCTACTAAATCTGAAGTAATATCAGGAGCGTCTGTAGTATTTTGGTATAAATAATAACATAATTAAATATATTATGACTATAATAATAATATAATTGATTTCATTCGTTCGTCATTCATTATAGACTATTAAAGTCCACTGCTGAATATACGAGAACGAGATTGCCACATGTGATATTTGCAATATTTGCAACGCTTGGCAGGTGCGTTGACAACCGCAGCTTTTTTATTATTTTGTGTTTTATCAAGAAGATGCTACTGCCTCATTCCTCTTTCATTGTCATCTTTTTTTATAGGGTAAAGGTAACAAACGAGCACACATTCCACGTGATGATAAGTGGTTGCTGTGGCCCATAGTCATCTACATCTATCCTCGATTACCACCCGTGAGGACTAAGATGGAATGCCTCGTTTCCAGTAAAAAGGGTCTCCGGTTCTCTACACTCACCATACGAAACATAGCAGCATTAAGCTACTATGTTACGTTGGTATTTTGTGAGAGCGTGGTCCTTCCCCGGTCGAGCCGACCTATTAGTGCTTTAACTATACTACTAATATAACTGCAGCATGGCTCTACCACGTATAAAATCTGTCGCAGTTTTTTATGTTTTAGTCGTTATCAAGAATATGATGCTGCATAACTCCTGTTTTTTTTTCCTTTGTCAGTTCTTACAACACCCACGAGACGATATGGGTTTTTTTTCATACGATTAAGACATTAGTAAGCAATTTTATAATTTATGTTTGTCAGTCTAACTTCCTGTTAGTTCGGAGTAATCTTTAGAACGACTGAATCGATTGTGATGTAGCTTCACAAACAGCTAACGAGTAATTCTAAGGGGGATATATTTTATCCAAAAATTTGAAGATTTATATTTTGAAAAGTCGAAAAAAATATTCTCAGCTCCTTTTTTTGCGCCCGAAGCAAATATGGGCAACCCTCCGGAAAGCGGGGGAGGGAGGTTGGGAATGCTCATAGCATACCACGCAGCCGGCTGCGTGGTTATGTGGTGACTTTTACTACCACTAAACCCAACCTTTTAGGAATTGGCTTAACGATCTGACTAGAGATCTCTAAGCCGTATACGAACGCGACCCTCCTTGGCAGAAAGGAGGGCGCAAGCGGCGAAAAGCCGCTTAGAAAAGTGCCTATCTAAGGCAGATTAAGGGATGTGTTATGTAGGCTCGGCCTGAGCCGCCAGGAGGCAGTTCAGGTCAGCCGAAAGCTTGTTGGGGGGGGGTCCGAGAGAGAGTTTCTCGGTCTGCGCACACTATAGCGAGTGTGGATAGGGGCTGCATAGGCAGCTGTCTCACGAATGAGATGATTTGGGTGGGAGTCAGCTCCTCTCATAAACTTTCCCTTCGGTCCTTTTTCCTTTCTATGTTTTACTCTTCTACTTTTTGCTGTAAATCTTTTTCAGTTCTTGGAGTGAAGCTATGGAACTTACTTTATAAAACGTGCTCAAATAATAGACTCCTTTAAAAACCAAGTTTAGAAACATTATCTTTCTTTCAAAATTCTCCCTCTTCCTTTCATCTCTTCCTGTCGTTTTATGACCACTAGTCTGTCAATTAAGTAAATTCCGGTATGTATATTAATTTACTTTCTTAATTTCGATTATAATATTATTTATAGTGCACTCTACCCATTAATTACATTATCAATTATTTTTATTTTCTATTTAGGTCGTCTGGAAGAAATTGCTGCATAGACCGCCTTTTGTTTTTCTCTTTGTTTGTTTCTTGTTATGTTATTTGTTTTCTTAGTTTGTAAAATCATTAAATAAATGGTTTATTTTATCTATCTTTTTTTTTTATAGAAGAGGGGGCAAACGAGCATGTGGCTCACCTGATGTTAAGTGACTACCGTTGCCCATGATCAACCGCAACACCAGGGGAATTGCAGGTGCGTTGCCGGCCCTTTAGAAAGGAGTAAGCTCTTTTCTTGAAGGTCCCCAGGTCGTATCGGTCCGGAAAAATCACCGGTGGTAAATTATTCCACACAGAGGTTGTACGCGGAAGAAAACTCCTTTTGAAACGTACAGTGGTGGACCGCCAAGCATCCAGATGGTGTGGATGGTATCGGGACGTTTGCTGTGTAGTGCGTTCACGAAATTTGGCGGCTGGGATTAATCCGAACAATTCCTCAGAGCACTCCCCGTGATAGATGCGATAAAATACGCAAAGAGATGCAACATCTCTTCGTAGCGCCAGTGAATCGAGCCGATCGGAAAGCACTCCGTCGTCGACGATTCGAGCCGCTCTGCGCTGGATGCGGTCAAGTGGAAGGAGCTGGTACTGGGGAGCCCCAGCCCAGAGATGGGAACAGTATTCCATGAGCGGCCGAACCTGCGCCTTGTAAAGTTGCAGGCGGTGTGCCGGCATGAAATACTGTCCCGCTCTGCTGAGCACGCCAAGCTTTTTAGAGGCCAATTTGGCCTTCCCTTCCAAGTGACCACGAAACTGCACGTCACTCGATACGTCGACGCCGAGGATTCCGATACTGGCTGAGGCAACGAGGGGAGTGCCTTGAAACTGAGGGGATACGACAAAGGGGTTCTTTTTAGCGGTTAACGCGCAAACTTGTGTCTTCTGGGGGTTAAACTGGACTAGATTTAGTCGCCCCCAATCCGAGACTCTGTCCAGCAGAGACTCGACTTCAGACACAAGTTTGTCCCGGCACTCAGAGACGTTTTCCCGAGAAATATTGGCTCGGCCGGTGTAAAGAGCATCACCAGTGCTGTCATCTGCATAGCAATGAATGCTACGGGTTTGCAATATATCATTGATATGCAGAAGAAACAGCGTTGGCGATAGCACGCAGCCCTGTGGAACACCAGCATTAATAAGCTTGCAATCGGAGCTTGCACCGTCTACAACGACCTTGATGCTCCGATCCGCAAGAAAACTGGTGATCCAATCGCACAATTTCTCGGGAAGCCCATAGGAAGGGAGCTTCGAAAGAAGCGCTTTGTGCCAAACCCGATCGAAGGCCTTCGCAATGTCCAAACTAACGGCTAATGCCTCCCCCTTGGACTCTACTGCCTCCGCCCATCTGTGAGTTAGGTAGACCAGAAGATCACCAGCTGACCTACCACGGCGAAAACCGTATTGGCGGTCACTAATCAGCTGGTGATCCTCAAGGTACCTCATGAGCTGGCAGTTTACAATGGACTCCATTGTTTTGGAGAACAAGGAGGTGATGGCGATAGGCCGGTAGATGGACGGGTCTGAGCGGTCGCCTTTTTTAGGGATCGAGTGGACGAAATCCGTCTTCCATGATTTTGGGACTACGCGTAGGGAGTAGGAGTACCGGAAAAGACGCGTTAAAACCGGTGCCAACTCTGGAGCACACGTCCTCAGCACAATTGGGGGGATTCCATCAGGCCCACTCGACTTATGGATGTCCAGGGAGAGGAGTGCTTTGCGAACCGAGCGCTGAGTGAACTGCACTTCCGGCACGGAGCACTCACACCGCGGGATGGTTGGCGGCGTACTCCCCCCGTCATCGAGAGTCGAGTTAGACGCAAAGAAAGAGCCTAGAAGATCGGCTTTCTCCTTTGCGGTGTGGGCCAGTGAGTCGTCCTCCCTGTGCAGAGATGGAAGAGATGGCTGACAGAAATTCCCCTGGACAGCCTTGGCGAGAGACCAGAATGCACGGGTTCCAGAAGGAAGACGAACTGGTCTCT